CTAAGTCCTGTACAACTCTGTGTGACCCTATGGACTGCAGCTCGCCAGGCTTTCCTATAACTTCACTGTCTCCTGGAATTTGCTCAAATTTATGCCTGAATTGGGTGGTTCAGCCTCTGTTGCCCCTTTCTCCTGCCTTCAGTCTTTCCCAGCATCAGGGTCTTTTCCAATGAATTGGCTGTTCACATCAGGTGGCCAAAGTATTGGAGCTTCAGCATCAGTCCTTCCAATGAATATTCAGTGTTGATTTCCTTTAGGATTGACTGGTTTGATCTCCTTGTAGTCCAAAGGACTTTATAGAGTGTTCTCTGGCACCGCAATTCAAAAGCTTCTGTTCTTCTGCACTCAGCCTTCTTTATGGTTTAACTCTCACATCCCTACATGACTCACTTTACTATTAAAAAAAAACCCAACACAATGACTGGAATGTGTTTGGTGCACAGCTAATATTATTCTCTTCCTTAGCAAAAGAATAATGTTCAGAACGAGCGATAGTGATGCACTTTGACCTGGTTCAGTTGCTGTTCTTTATTCATGTTGTTGTATGGCAGAAGCTGACACAACATCATGCAGCAGTTATATTCCAATCATTGAGGTGTTTTCTAGTATCTGGCTGTCTTCTGTAGTTATTGATCAGTTACTTTGTCAGGAATGGCAATCCTGTCCACAGAGATTCTTATAGCCACTTTGGTCTCTAGTGTTATTGTAGAATCTTTCTTTTGAGTCTTCAGTAAGTTCTGCATTAACATGCAATGGTATAGATTTTTATAGATGTTATATATAAGCTGGTAGGAATCTTAGGTTCCAGTGTCCCCGTTTATTTTTGGATTTTTCTTTTTCTCATGATGTAAAAGTTACGAAATTATTTAGGAATAACCTCCATAACAGGCTTCCCAGGTGGCACAGTGGTAAAGAATCTGCCTGTAATGCGAGAGATGTGGGTTTGATTCCTGGGTTGGGAAGATACCCTCGAGGAGGAAATGGCAGCCTGCTCCAGTATTCATGCCTGGACAATTCCATGGACAGAGGAGCCTGGTGGGGTCCAGTCTGTAGGGTTGCAGAGAATGGGACATGATTGAGCGACTGTGCGTGCGCACGTGCACACACACAAGCTCCACAGCATAGATGGAGCAGGGATCACTAAATGCTGTTGAATTTAGAGAAATTGTGTGTAGAAAAAATGTTTAAGTTTTAATTTGTAGTTGTATATTCTATGAAATGTTTGTCTTCTTTGTAATGTCCTCCTGCAATTCTCTGAAAATTGTTTTTTAGCCGTATTCTTATTTTTCATACCATGAGAACATTTCAAATTTTTCACATGGACCAGAGTCCTCAGTTCCAGCTGACTTAATTCCTCTTGAATTCAAATTTTTAATATGAGATTGTGAGCAGGGAACAAAACCAGCAACCTGTGAGATGTACCCTTGCTTTTTGTCAAGTGTTAAAAATTAAGTGGTGAGCTGGTGTGCTAAATATAATTTAAGACTTGTAGTCAAAGACCTGTCTTAGACAGTATAGAGAAATTTTGATTATGTTGTGTACCTTAAAGGATGTTAAATGATACTGTTACCTTTATCTTGAGTGAATAGTGGCTACTTGTGACAAACTCAGAAAATAGATTTCAGCTGGATAAATTATGCGGTATTGAAGAGACTTGCTCATCTACAGAATCATACTCTGTTTCCTTAAATGTAGCACTTGTAGCAAATGTAGATGTAAGGTAGCCTACTTTTTGTTTGTCGAACAATTTTACTTTTGAATTTTTTTTCTCCTTAACAAAGGAAAAGAAAGATTTATAGCTTTGAGGGCTTGTTTATTACAAGTAAATGGATGGACCAGTACCTCTTTGGGTCTTGTGTTAAAAAAAATGACTTTTGTTTTCTGCCTCCAGTTCATCTGAATTGAAGGTTGGTTGCATGTAAAACACTGGGCATTTATTTAAATGCCCCCGGTGGTGCTTAGGAGTCTATTTTTCATGCAGGGGCTGGATAACTAAAAAAATGTAGCCTTTTCTAGTCTATGCCAGCCTTAATTTTCATGAAATATATCCCATTTGAATAGGGACTAGGGCTAAGAAAAGGTGTGTGAACATCTGTACTTTTTATACAGTTTGGTTAACTGTATCATCCTCTTATTTTCTAAATTTAGTTTTTATTTAAAGAGTTTGGCTGATTCCCCTCTCCGCCATTCTTTCGTTTTTAATCTCTTCTATGTCTACAATTGTACATTATAGTTACACACCTTAGTGCATACCTTTGAATTGTTTTGATTCTGATCCTAGCAGATTACTGTAGTAAGTGTTTAAGTTACATAGTAACTTGCTATAGTATTTAAGTATTAAGTTACACACTTTAGTGCATACCTTTGACTTCCTTTGATTCTAATCCTTGACTTCCTTTGATTCTAACCCTCAGTAATTGCTAGAGGTACTGAGAGTGATTTTATTGTTTTGTAATTGTTGTTTTGTAATCTTTATTTTGACTTCTTTAAACCTTATTCACTTGCTTGCTGTATTCTCCTGACAATACGTTTATTGCCTACTTAAGTATTATTTCAATTTAGTTTAGTCGCTCAGTCGTGTCCGACTTTGCGACCCCTGGAGTGCAGCGCACCAGGCTTTCCTGACATCTTTAATTACCATGTTTTGATAGCTACCCTAAATTCTTATATTCTTTCTCATTGGTGGCAAAAAAAAAAAATTCACTGGCATAGGAAATATTTAGGGTTTCCCAGGTGGTAGGACATGACTGAACAACCAAACAACAAAGCAAAATATTTAACTTTCCTTTTTTCCCTTATTTTTTATTGTGGTAAAATGCATATAACATAAAATTTACCATTTTTAGCATCCAGTTCAGTGTCATTAAGTACTTTCCTATTCTTTTTTGTTTGTTTGTTTCATGGCTGCATGATATGTGGGATTCTAGTCTCCCCTCCCCTGGGATTGTACCCTTGCCCTCCACAGTGAAAGTGTGGAGACCCAAACTGGACCACCAGGGAATTCCCTTTTGTTTTTTGTTTGTGGACTGTTCTTGTTAATATATAGGATTGTTGTAGTTCAGTTTTGAAATTGGATTATTAAATCCTTCCTGTGTGACTCTTCCCTTTCCTTCACAGTTTTGGAAATGTGTTTGGATATTTTAAGACATTTTTTATCTGGAAATAATTTCAAGCTTAAAGAATAGTTGCAAAAATAGTGCCAGGAAACTACATATATCCTTTAACAAAATTTACCAGTTGTTAATGTTTCATCTGCTTTTTCCTCTTTCAACATATTTGTACATACCCCCCCCCCCCCCCCCCCCCCGAACTGTTTGAGAGTAAGTCATCATTAGCCTTCAATTAGGGCTTTCCTGGTGACTCAGATGGTAAAAAATCTGCCTGCTATGCAGGAGACCCAGGATCAGTCCCTGGGTGGGGAAGATCCCCTGGAGAAAGGAATCGCTACCTCTCCAGTATTCTTGCCTGGAGAACTCCATGGACAGAAGAGCTTGATGGGCTACAGTCCATGGGGTCTCAAAGAGTTGGACACAACTGAGTGACTAACACACACAGCCTTGAATAAATATGAATTTGCTAAGAATAGAGATAGTTTTGTATAATGGTAATCAACTTCGGGGAATTTTGCATTGATACTGTACTCTAACATCTATATGCCAATTTTGTCAATTGATCCAAGTCCAGTTTTTTTCTGCTTTTAGTATAGGACCATGTATTGCATTTAATTGTTATGTTTCTTTAGTTTCTTGTAATCTGGATCAATTTTTCTGCCCCCACCCCCTTTTTTGGTGTTTCATGACATTTTAATATACTACAGTCCCAGGAATCCTCACCCGCCTCCCCTCATTTTGGGTTTGGTCTCTTTTCTCATGATTAGATACAAATTATGCTATTTTGGTTGGAATATTACCTTAATGATGTCTTCCTCAGGATATAAATGTAGAGGCATATGATATTCATCTGCCACTCATTGGTGATGATAATCACCAGTGACTGATCCCTCAGACAAGGTGATGTCATTTCTTCACATTGTAGTTATGTTTTTCCCCTTGTGGTTTACAAATAATCTTTAAGACCATACAGATATTCTTCTTTTCACCAGAGTTTCCTCCATATTAATGTAGCATCCATTGAATGGATGAAAATAATTCTTGTTGAATTCTTTTTTTTCTATGTGTTTTCAGTTTCAAGTACTGGTGTGTTACACGTACCCATTAACTAAACATGTCAACCTGATTTGGTAGTCATGAGCAGTGGATTTTGTCAGCTGGGTTTCACTGAGGTTTTTGTTTGCTTAGGTCAGTGGTCCCTAGCATTTTTGGCACCAGGGGAGATTTTTCCATGGATTGGGGGTAGGGGGGATGGTTTCAGGATAATTCAAGTGCCTTACATTTATTGCACACTTCATTTCTAATCTAATGCTGCCGTTGATCTGACAGGAGGTTCTGGTTCATGGCTTGGAGGTTGGGGACTTACACAGTTTCACTGTCATTGTTTCTTCGATCTGAGTAGATCTGATTTTTAACCATTTCTGGCAGCAGTTTGTTGAAAACTGCAAATTGATAATAAGGCAAATAATACATAAATTCATTGCTGTTCTGAAGCAATGAAAACAGTTTCCCCATTTTTTTTCTTTATTGATGTATAGTTGACTCACAATATTATATTAGTTTTAGGTGTACAACATAGTAATTTGATATTTTTATACACATCATGCAAAGTTACTAAACTGTTACTGACAATATTCCCTGTGCTGAGCATTACATTCCTGTGACTTACTTATTTTATAACAGATAGCTTGTACCTCTTAACTAGAATTAGCTGAGTTGAGAGTATTGCTCAAATATTCTATTACAAAGCCATACATTTCATTAGATAAGTTGCTTTCTCATTAGTAAGTGTGCTGTTAACTACATGCTTAGTTTGTTGACTGCTTGTGATTTTAATGCTGTTAGACACCAAGATTCACTTGTTGATTTGTCTGATTTTCTTCCCCTTAGGGCAAGAGGATTATGACAGATTACGACCGCTGAGTTATCCACAAACAGATGTATTTCTAGTCTGCTTTTCAGTGGTCTCTCCATCCTCATTCGAAAATGTGAAAGAAAAGGTGAGTTAGTTAGATATTCTCTCCCTGAAAAAAAGGTTGTCATAAAACTTCTGTTGACTTGTAAATAGCTTTGGAGGCTTGTGGATTAATGCAGGTGTGTTTTTTCTTTTTTTAAAATATCTTTTCTCTAGTGGGTGCCTGAGATAACTCACCACTGTCCAAAGACTCCTTTCTTGCTTGTTGGGACCCAAATTGATCTCAGAGATGACCCCTCTACCATTGAGAAACTTGCTAAGAATAAGCAGAAGCCTATCACTCCAGAGACTGCTGAAAAACTGGCCCGTGACCTGAAGGCTGTCAAGTATGTTGAGTGCTCCGCACTCACACAGGTGAGGACTGTGTGGAGCCCCATGTCTGTTAACAGTGGAGCAGCTTGAATAGCGTTTAGGACACAGGTTATTTCTGACAGTGGTCTCCAGCGCTCAAGAAAGCTGCCCAGGAATACTGTTAGAAGTCTTGTTAGAGGTCTCCGTTTTTATGAAGAAAATTATTTGTCTCTAAATAAAGCTCTTGTGTTGGTGAGCGCCCATGTCTTATGTATCATTTGTAGTGGTCAGGGATTGTTTTTTTTTTTTTTTTTTTTTTTAAATTAATGGTAAGGTCCAGATTAGCACAAATTTACAAGAGTATGTGAATGATTCCCCTCTTCCCCCTACCCCAACTTAAAATTTCATCTAAGTAAATCTCATCTTTTGTCAGTACTGACAGTTGATGCTATAGTCTTCTGGGGTGATTCATCTGAAATCGGGAATTGGTCGCAATCATTGAGACTTTCAGAGAAAGCTACCTTGTGTAATCATTGAGACTTTCAGAGAAAGCTACCTTGGCCATTTCTCAAGTTTGTGTTTATATAGTGTCTCTATTCCTAGATTTTGGGAGGCATTCCATCCTTACACTGTTCACTTTTTCTGAACGATATAGTTGGAACTCTTCCTATAGTTTGACAGGAAACTTCAGATTCTGAAGACAGCAAGCAGTGTTAAAAGTACTTTGAGTGAGAGTTTCAACCGACTTGGGGGGTTTCATCTTCTCTACCTTCATGGTGTCACCAACCTTTTCTCCCATTTGAGAGTTGTTCTGTTGGGGGGTGGAAGGAAGGATTATGGAAATAATTAGCCCATAACTTTTTCATTCTGTCTTTTGACGTTTGAACAGTGAACAGACATGCCTAATTAAAATAAGGCAGGACTGAAGGGTAGAGATTTCTTAGAGTTATGTGAAATTCACTTATTTCTCACACTGCTTTTTCAGGTAGGTTTTTTTTAAAATTAAGTTAAAAAAACACTGTCAGATTCTTGATTATACATATACTAAAGTAAATGGCATATATAGTTAAATGTTATACATGTACTAGGTATTTAGTATGTAGGGTGTAGACATAATTTAGTAATCTCCAGTTTAGCCCTGGGCTGGATATGTAAAGACAAAAATTTTGTTTGAAGCTGGATATTTCACAGCATAGCTTTGAGGCCTAGTTTTACTGTTAAAAGCCGAGTTTTTCTTGGCAGTTCAGTTCTGTTGTATTGATATTGCAGATATTTAAAAGTTGAGATGATTTTACATTTTCATACATGTACAGCTGAGGTTTTAAAAAATGCCTAATTGTACAGCTGACTGAGATTTTAAAAAATGCCTAATGTTTCTGTGTTTTGCTAGCATTCCCAGAAAAATGTGTGTGTCCTGAAGAAGGATGTGTGTGGAACATTTGAATCAGATAACTTGCATATCCCCATTCTCTGAATATGGGTTGCTTTTGGGGGAAATGGAGACAAGTAGGCCATGTGGACCCAATTTTAGGTCACTAGTGAAGCTTATTTTAGAGAATTGGATGCTTCCATATAAGGTGTTCTACATTATGAATAGGTTTATTTAGGAAGTCCCTTTTCAGAGAACAGAAATTTGAAAAAATCTTAGCAAATATGTTTTTCTTATCAGATTTTGAAGTTTGGAGAAATCAAAAGAGAAGACAGAAAATGGGGTCCCTGGTACAGTTTGAAAGCCGCAAGTTTTTAAGACTCCAGAATTTGTTGGTTCCTCTAAAACTGAACTCTTTATATAATCAGATAGTGTGATTAAAGCAAAGATTAGGTTTGTCTTGTAGGGGATTAGTTGATCTTTGTCGATAAGCAGGAACATATTTGCTTATTAAGGGATGCCCTAGTTTCTAATTGCTCTCCTCCCCTTTTTTCCTCCTTATAAAATTTATTTCTCCTTCATAGCTTCCCTCCTTTCTTTTATGTATGACAACCAGAATTTGCTTGTAGATGTGTAGAAAGAATTTCAGAGGAACCTTGACTTGTTTAGCATTTCTAGTTTGTGAAAGGCACAGAAGGAAGAGAACTTTTTAAACCTTTGTTTCTTTTCAAGCGCTTGTTGTTATTTCTCATTTATTTTGTACCTAATGGACTGTGGGGTGCCAATCCTCTAAGATACTGTGTGGGGGTGGTGAGCAAAGTGGAGGCGTCTGGGGCTCGCACATTTGCTACCAGAGCTGTGCTCTGGGGCTTTGGGGGGCATGTTTACTTGGGATACAACTGACCTAAAGGACATGTGAAACTGCTTTGGGTGGTAAATCTGTGGCTTCAGATTTAGGTTGAGTTTAGGTTGAGTCTATAGACCTGGTACCAGTACTACTGAGTCATACTGTCATGCTGGAGTTCTGGCTGAGGTGTAAGTGTATTTCTGCATCTTAATTCTTACAGAGCTGAGAATATTCTTTGTTTTCACTCCATGCTTTATGCTCTGATACCCCACGCGGACATTAAAAGCATTGATCTGCTTGCTAAAACTCATTCTAGGACCCCATTCTTTGTTTTCCTATTGGGTGGTGGTTACTTGCTCTAATAACATTACTGAATAACTGAAGTGTATGCTGTTTCTAGAGTCTTTTCTTTAAACTTCTCCCAGTTGGTACTGTTGAACAATTAACACTTTTTCTAAATGCCTGAACCTGTTCATCTGGGAAACTTGTTTAATCTGAAATTTTGATTAATACCATCTAGATATGTCATTGAATCTAGAAACATGTAGCATGCTTGTTAGTCTGCTATTTGTGTCCTTCAGTTATTCAGGGGATGAATTCACAGAAGCATGAAATTGTAATAGGTTTAGTTCCAAAATGTGTGTGCCATTCTTATCATTAGAAGTACTTGGGGGTTCTACAAGTACTAATCCTAATTATTTAATGCATGTATCTTGTGTTTACATATCCATTTTATTCCTCTGGCACTCATTTCATTAATATGTTGTAATGTTAGATTTCAAAGTATGATTGTTCTAGAAATCAACATATGGCATTGTCACAAAAGTTGTTTTCTTGCTCAGTTAATCTTTTTTGAGGTAAGACGTTTGTTCAGTTATTTACTCTCTTGATAATGGACTTAAGATCTAGCTTTCTGGCAGTTACTTTTCTAAAGGTGCATTGCTTCTGTGAATTCAACCCATTTAATCCGGACTGCTGTTGTATCTGCTAGTCTTTCTAATCCTCTAACCTGGCTGCTGTTCTCTCTCCTCCCCTCTGTCTTGTAGAGAGGTCTGAAGAATGTGTTTGATGAGGCTATCCTAGCTGCCCTCGAGCCTCCGGAAACTCAACCCAAAAGGAAGTGCTGTATATTCTAAACTGTTTTCTCCTTCCCCTCTTTGCTGCTGCTTCCTGTCCCACTACTGTAGAAAGATCGTTTAAAAACAAAGGAATAAAACCATCCTGTTTGAAAGCCTCTGCGTCTTTTTACTCACCACCTTAGAGCAACCTCTGTATTAGTTTTTGATCAAGAATGCAATATCTTATAGAATATTTTTTGTGATCAGTAGTCAAGTTGGACTTGTTTAACTTTCTGCTGCTTGAGTTGCCTGATGCTCAGAGCTTTTTGGTTTGGATTACTATTGCAAAAGGGAACTTGGTTTGGCATTAAGAATGTCCTCTTGGAGAAAATTAAGAGTTTTTAACACTTCTAGATCTTAGTTCTTGATGGAGAAAATAACACAAACATCATTTTACTCTTGTGATCCATTGTTAATTGTAATTGCATGACAAAATTTATGGGAAAAGGGTGACCTGCTAGTAGAGTGTAATGGGGAAGGGAGGATTCTTTTCTGGTTTTCCTTTGTGCAGTGAAACTTTGTGTTGCTATTGCTTTGGCTGTCTGTGCTGTAGTGGAGTGTTTGTCAGTCTGGGTGGGAAAGATATTGATGTACCTGCTACTGCTTTATGAGATCATTTGTTATACTCTCTTTTAAGAATAGCATCCATTTTAACAGTTGACTGAAGGTTTGTTAATGTTGAGATGTAAAGCTGCCACCTTTATATTTTCCTGCTTCTGATTTTATTGTTGTGAGGGGAAACATACAATTGTGGTTACCTTCAAATTTTGAAATTAAAAATATACAGTTGTTTGTATAAATGCCTGATGAAGCTTTTTATTCCTGTTGCACTGACTGGCTCTAGTTTCACATGTATATAAGGTACCCACATTTCTGCTTCCTTGAATCCCCCTGGCTCTTAATTGGTGGGAAAAAGGGAGTTCAGAGTGAATACCTTTGATGCAGCCACTGTAATCGTTCTCTCCATCTTTGCCTGCGCCTTCCATGTATTAAGGATGCCACTGCCCAGTGCCCGACCTCTCACTCCTGTTCCATGTTCAGCTGTTTCATTTGAATGCAGAGCTGCTTAGTTGTTTTTATGGAAAATATTCCAGCAGCACATTGTACAGAACTCATATTGAATGAGCAAATGACACGTGTGCTTGTTTGCTTCTTGTGACATACATTGGTCTGCAAAAAGCTTTCTCAAAGAACCACTGTCTTACTCATGAATATCTGCTCCTCTGCTCCTGAATTGGTGGATCCTTCCAGTGCCCTGCCTGGACAGAACTTGGTGAAGTGAGATAATTGTGTTGAGATTCAGGATTTTTCAATGACTCGTTCTTTGCCAACTCTTGGGGGTTTGCGTGTTTTAAATTTGACCTTCAATTTTATTATACTGAATATCAGACTGCAAATTTTTTTCTTTCTACCCCTTTTCAGAAAGGCCTAAAGAATGTATTTGATGAAGCAATATTGGCTGCCCTGGAGCCTCCAGAACCGAAGAAGAGCCGCAGGTGTGTGCTGCTATGAACGTCTCTCCAGAGCCCTTTCTGCACAGCTGGTGTCGGCATCATACTAAAAGCAATGTTTAAATCAAACTAAAGATTAAAAATTAAAATTCGTTTTTGCAATAATGACAAATGCCCTGCACCCACCCACATGCATTTGTGTGAGACAAGGCCCATAGGTATGGCCCCCTTCCCCCTCTCAATACTAGTTAATTTTGAGTAATTGTGTATTGTCAGAAAAGTGATCAGTACTAGTTTTTGTTTTGTCATTTCAAAAAAAATTATTATTATTATTTTTCGTTTGTTTAAAAGCAAGGCATGCTTGTGATGACTCTGTAACAGACTAATTTGGGCTGTTGAAGCTGTTCCTGGGTTCCACTCTGGCGAGTAATCTGGGATATCTAGTGTTTTTTTTTTTTTTTTCTTTCTTTTTTTTGTTTGGGCGGGGGAGTGTGTGTGGGATTTGTTTATATTTAGTCATTTTTTTTTTAAAAATTCATTAACCATTGGACAGCCCTTAGGGGAGGAGGATGGATTGATTCCACATTCCACTTCCTAGATCTAGTTTAGAGAACATGTTCCCCACCTGGTGCTCTTAGGAAGGAGTATAGTAAACGCCTCATTTAATAATATACTCCTTTTTGAAAGTTGCCTTTTCTCTCCACCCTTGAGTAGGTCCAGTATTTGATGAAACTCATGAAAGTGGGTGGAACCTGTCTTGCCCCTCCTCTTTTCTAGGATGCACTATATATGTGACTGTGACTCTCAAGGAAATTTGTTTGCCATTTGCTGATTTTTTTTTTTTTTTGAAGTTAATTTCTAACTTCTTTCACTGATAAATGAAGAAAAGTATTGCACCTTTTGAAATACACCAAATGGATTGAGTACATAATTAAAAAAATTTTTTTTTCCCTGTCAGTCATTGTCTTAATATGCTTAGCATAGACATGCAGCTTAATAGTGTATGATATGGTGTTCCTAGAACACAGCTGAAGACCTGGTGTATAGAGGAAATCCAAGGGGTGGTGCTAGAAGACAGATGCCTGTGGGATGATTCGCATCCTCTTTCAAGTCGTGAGGATGGAGACCTGCTTCATTAAGAAGCTGGGGGTGGGGTGGGGGTGGGGAGAACCTTTAACAACATGGGGACCAGTCAGGGGAATCCCCTTATTTCTGTTTTGCATGAGGAACCCTAGAGCAGCCAGGTGAGGCTCTCTAGTTCAGCAAAAATCCTAGGGAGAGTCTTATGAAGACTCTTCATAAGTGTTAATAGGAATTTTATCAGCTTATTTTGGTTGCAGTTTTCAAGTTTTAAAAATGTTAGTTTATCTTCCCCACCTTCCCTAAATCCTAATTCTTGTAGATTTCATTAGTGTTGAACCAGTGCTTTCTCATGTCTCAATTCTTTGTATATGCATTCTTTTCAGATGTATTAAACAAACAAACAAAAAAACCCTTCACACGTCAGCCTGGGGGTTGTTATTTTCCCTCCGCCTCTTAATATTTAGACATTTAGGAGTGGGAACTTGACTCTCATTGACATCAACTTCTAACAGATTTCAGGATAAAAATACAGAACATAAAGAGTTAATGTACTTTGTTTTCTAGAATTCAGTTTGAGATATTTTTTCCTCTCCTCATATTCAGGTTTCTGCCTTTTTCCCTGTTTGACAGGTAGCCTACAAACTCCTTTTCTTTAATATCAAGTGGGTTCCATAGAGAAGTGCTCTGACAGCTCACTGCTCATGTTGTTGAAATGACAGCATACTTCCAATCCAAGCATTAGTGGGAAAGCAGCCATTTTTTCTCCCCAAGTTTTCTGTATCAGTGGTTTTCAAACTTTGCTGCTTTGTAGAGTGCAGCTTGAGCAGGGAATTATTTAGAAGCTTTCCAGGAATTTCCATTACACAGCCAAATTTGAGAATCACTGCTCCTAAGGTGTTAACCACAAACTGCTTCTACCAAATTATAGATTCTGTGCCTTGTATCTGAATATAGGACACATTTTCTGTAGGTGCCAAGAATGATTCATTTATTTTTAAGAGCATTATACTGATATGTATGAGAATCTTAGAAACTAAGGATTGATAATTCAGTTAGTAAGGCTGATACAGTGTGTAGCCTCATTTTCATAGTTTTCTATGTGGAGTCACGTTTGACTTGATTCTGTTCTGTGCTAGAACTTAGCTGGGCTGGTTGGGAGGAGATAAGGAAGAAACAAATCTAGGCTTTACTGTTTTAACCAATGTGTCTTACTTCTTCCGTCTTGGCCCTACCTGGGAGAGACACATGGATCATATTATGAGACTCTGGGGAGCAGAAACTCCGTATCCCTCGTTCTTGGTATAGTGGCATACGGGTCCATCCTGATTCTCACTGGATCGCTGGTCTAGAGCAGTGTTTCGACATGTAAGAGATAGCTCTGAAAATAGTCATTGGATGGGTACATGGTGTCAAGAATGAATAAATGAAATAGAGCAGGTTACATGGTGGTATTGTTGCATTTTCCACACATCAGAAGAACAATGGCGATTGAAGCTAACACTGATTTCTAGTTAAGCATTTTCAATTTGATTTCCACGTAACAGAAGCAAATGGATGAAACTGACATTGTTTTCTGTTTAAATATTGTTTTTCTATTTGACTTAACAAACTTGTCTGTTATCTTTGGCTTAGTGATAACTGCCCAGCGTGTGTGATAATAGAGATTGGAAAAGGGCTATTTAAAAAAGTCCTTAGCAGACTTAGCTTATGGCAAAATTTACAACATTTAGTCTAATACAACATTGAATAAATACATCACTATATTTCTATAATACTGATGTTTTACTGAAGGTCTTAGAAATAGGTTCTGTAGTTTGTTAAAGTTGGCATCCTTTGAGCTGGATTTTCTTTTTGGATGCACCACGTGGCTTGCAGGATCTTATTTCCTGACCAGGGATCAAACCCAGGCCCCCAGCAGTGAAAGCACCTAGTTTTGACCACTGGACCCCCAGGGAATTCCCTTTGAGTTGGATTTTATGACAATAGAAGGACTATATTAATATATTTTAAGGGAATAGAAGGTTGATCGTGGAATCAAAGGAATGATTGCAATATTTCCTTTATTCTAAAATGTTACTTTTCCTTTTTTTGAGCCAGGGCTTATTTTCATAGTATTGAATATAATCAGAATACCTCTTAAAATTTTGTGTTATACATTTAGTGTAGTGGTGCTTTTTTCCTGGAAAGCTGTCCTTAGATCATTGGTGTCTTCTAATTATCTTCACAATATCTTCACAGAATGGATAAAATATTACTTTTTCTTCCTTGTTAGATTTGGACTATTCTCTTGTTTTCCTTCTCCCATTTTAATGTTGTTAGTGGTTATTAGAAGAATTGCTAAGGAACTGGTTTATAGGGACCCTGCTTCTTGAGGTTTGAAACTTAGTCTCCTCTGGGTACAGCTAACATACATTGAAAATTTGGATGGTTTTTCACCAACAAGTAGCAACTCCCATTATTTTTCAGGAAAGGCTGAGCTCTTCATGGTTAGGGTATCTGAATAATATGTGAGGGGAGTATCTTTAATCACATTCCTGACTTAGCTCTCACTGTTTTCTGTAAGACTTACCCAGTTTGCCCCAACTTCAGAGCATGGTGATTTAACTTAGAAAGCTCAACAGAAGACCTCACCTTAATATTTTCTTCTTTGCAGGACTGTTAAAATATTTATATATTACTTTTATTTTTTTCTGAAGAGCCCCATCCCCATTAAAAAACACCATTTCATTAGCTATTCCTACAATAATGGTGCATTACAAACCACCCTAACTCTCAGCTGGCTTTATCCAACAGCATTTATTTTTCTAGATTGTGGGTCAGTTGGATTTTGCCTCCAGGCTTCAGATTGGGCCCAGGCTGGCTTCATGTTTCTTGTTCTGGAGCCTTCCAGAGAGGACATCAGGTGGTGAGCCAGAGTGGGTACAGGGGCAAGCACATTGAAAATCCCTCACATTCCGTTGTCCAGAGGGTTCCACATAGCCACGCTCAGACGTTCATTTCCCTCAGACTTAGTAATTCAAAATTATGGTTTTCTTTCTTTCCTTCTTAATAAGGCTCTTGAGGATATTAGCAGAGAATAAAACAGATGTGAGATCCTGACTTCTGCTTGGAATTTTCTCTCCTTTACATTTTGATACCTGCCTTTCTTTTGAATAACCATGTGAGAGAGTAAAACTTGGCTCTGCATGTGCATGCCCAAGACACACATTCATTCGTCAGAGTGCTTGTTCTGTACTAGGCTCTGGAGCCGTTGGAGAATGACAGCTCTAACTCCGTGTGCGGGCAGCTTCACTCTTCTGGCCCCTTTGTATATAAAGTAACTCTGTACTTAATTATCATTGAGGTTTCAAGTGTGGTGTGGGGTGGGACCTGGGAATCAATCTAGTTTTCAGATATTCCCAAGATAGAACTTTTGATTCATCACGTTTGGGGACCAGTGTGCACCTCAGTGGTTCTTAACTCTGACTGTGTCAATGGCACCTTTGGAGCTTATTTTAAAAAGAAAATCATGCCTGCAGCAATTTTATGCAATCCCTGGAAATAGGGTCTGGGCATCACAATTTTTTTTCAAATTATTCTTTGTAGGAACATCACATCTTTAAAGCTCATTTGCTATTTTTATATGCCCCAGGTTTCAGAACTGTGGCACTCGATGGTCTCTCTAAGGTTTCATTTATATCTGACCTGAGTTTAAGAGTAATTCTAGACTACAGTCTTTACAGTTTCTTTCTCCTTTGAGGAAGAGGTTCTCCATAGTTGTGGTCCCAAACTGGCCTTCAGTTCTTCGTAAGCCTTAGTCGGAAAGAAGGTTTACGAAGTTCATAGTCATAGTCTTACTGGTGGACTGGCACTGAGATGGTTTAGGCAGTCGTCTCAGTGGTTAGGTTACTTAAGCAGCAGTTTGAGAAGAGGGCAGGTATTTGAGCTTAGAGTTCAGCTAAGGTTTTCTAAGTTAAAGCTAGAATGTGGAGGAAGACT